TCACATTTTTTTTTTCTGCAGTTTTTCGACTCGCATCTTTCTTTAATTTACTTCAAACATTGTGCCTCCGAACAGAACCTCACCTTAACAGACCCCGGATGTGAGAAATATTGTGCGGCTTCCGAGTACAGGGATCAAATTGAGTAGCACGTCATTTAAGGCAACAATCGAAAGTTCCGAAAATTCAGACGAGCATATTAAAATGACCCGGCCGTGGTAGCACATTTTCTTTACCAAATAAAGTGAAATTATGTTTTGGCACAATGTTGGTCCCATCAGTGGCTCCCTTCCAAGGTCATCTTATATCACCGTCGTTAGTGATTAATATATTAGACACATCATATTGAACCACGACCAAAGTTGCTTAATTCATTAATATTATTACTTGTTTCTGCCAAACTGAACACAATTCAAATACCCTAACGCCAGTTGTAAAACACGTACACATCCATCGTCCCGAAGGGCATTTAAAAAAAAACTTGCAGCCTTTCCACTCTGGTGAAGAAGAAAGACGAGCAAAGCTGTACTGTAGTGGGACTGAAGTAATGGCCGGCCACAAGTCGGCAAGCCAGAGTGGAAAGGCTGGAATGGTTGCCGCCATCTATGAGCAACGGCGTCAACCGGCAAGCCGGTTGTCTGGTTGCCACGGTTGCTCACAGATGGCGGTAACTGTCTATACTGTTGTGTCCACATTTATTTGCTGGCGGACATGATCCTGAGGAAACTAGCCCTTGAAACGCTCCAATGTAAAAATTAAAAAAACAGGTGCGCTTGCAGCAGTTCGCTGGCGAGGGGAGGCGGTTTCCTCCTTCCCTTGCCCTTGCCAGTGCTGCATCTATTTTCTCCTCTCCCACCTTTCTTTCCCTCGACCTACCTTCTTGAGTTGTCACCGACTATAGACCTTTCCTTTAACAACGCTGCCATTTTGAGAATTGCGGCGCCGATGACGCCGTCTAGCGGCTTAGAAAAAGAAATACCGGCTAGTTCTGGCAGCACAGCTATCTGGGTAGGCAACGGTGTGGGTAGGGGGGGAACTTGGCTAGATTTGGCTATGGTGGGCTGCAATAACTTGGTTGGAGCTTGTCCGGTTGAATCCAGCTGGCTACTCCCAGGCCATCACCTTGCCTCCTCGAGAGAACGAGGACGAAGACGGTGGGGTGTTTTGATTGAGTTTCCACAGCGAAGTATATATGAGCAGTTTAATGTAGTCTATGCAGGTAAGCTCTCGACATTTGATCTTGAGTGGTGGCATGTAAACTTTTTCATACCTTTCACATACCATGGGGCTTGCAGCAATAACCTAATTGGACCACCTGCACTGGGAATTAAAATCGGTCCTCTTGTCATAAACGAAGTGGTCGTGAGCTTTAACGTGACGTTGAATCTGATACGAATCGCTCGCGATTCAAGCTCGCAATCGACTGACTTCATAAATAAGGATTCTTGGGGAAAATGCGAAGCTCGATAACATTGCAGCTACACTCGCACTGCAGCTTCTTGTGCTCATGGCACACTTGCTGCTGTTGTTGTTATGCTTTTTTAAATTATTTTTCCATCGACCATGCAGTGGTAGCCAGACAACCGTAGATTTTCGGAAATTGCAGCACGGTAAAAAGGAGCACTCAGAACTAACTCATGCACGACGTCCGTTTTTAAGCCTTTTCGCCCATACCCTTGGCGGTTGCATACCCTGTGTCAGCGGGTAATCCAAAAATGCACCAGGTCGAGGGTACGTCAGTTACTGGCTGGTTTGAGGTTATACAAAAAAGGTCTACAGCAATTCATTTGCCCTTAAAGGCCATCAAGGGCATTACATAAGGACACAAGTTTGAGAGTGCACCGATTTTGACAGAATCACCCCCTTTGCTCATTAATGATGGAGCGCACATACACACATTTTAACAGAGAAAGTTCTATCTTATTTTTAACAACTTTTAATTTAGTTTTAATAAAAGTCTGGCATGAGCACCGGTAAAACTAGCCCCACAGCACCTAATAGGGGCCTCACACCACTGCCAACGTATTGTCGACCAAGTTGCTTTTTACATTTAAAGGCACCATGGTGGGTTTATGAGGAGGAGTTTGAGATCAAAGCACGCGTGCTAAAACATAGTGGCTTTGGCACGGAGGTCTCCTTTTGGCCAACAAAGAGATACAAAACTTTTTTTTTTTATGGGATTAATGCTCAGGCACATGAGACGACGAATCCACCAGCCTGTTCGATTTTTAGGAATCGAACGATAGTTTGATGGGCAACGACAGGAGTGATGAAAACAATGTGAATCCTGCAAGCATTTCATCAACTTCGGCATCCACACGTCAGTGTGACTCAGACCGGAAGTCCTTATTTTGAGTAAGATACGATATCTGGGGTTGAGGAAATATTTGCCTTATTTTAAAGCAAACTGCCCATTTAAAATAAAATTTTGCTGTACGCTCCTCGAAGAAAAAATAGAGTAGGCAAGGGGTTAACACATCCATAAGCTAAAAACACACAAAAAAAGGTGTTCATTTGTGTTCAGCGATTAAGAGGGAAACAATGTACAAAGTTCTGCATATAAGAATAAAAGACTGCAAGTTGGGCTCGTTTGTTCCAATTCACACAAAAGTTCTACAAAAAAAAAAAAAAAAAAATCTTGGGGACAAAAGGTGAGAGGCTTTTAGTTCTTATACTTTTTATTTTTCTTCGTTTTTTTTGGCACAGAACTTAGGGTTACAAGGTTGGGATAATAATAGTTAAATTGGGGTACTTTGTACTTTGTTTGCCGCCGAAATTCGACAGTTGGCCATGTGGCTATTTGAAATTCTAACACGGCAAATTTTTTTTTTTTTTTTGCTTGGTTTTGAGTATTAAATGTGCAAAAGACACTTCAGCATGGACAGAAAGCGACAGCCACCTGTTCCGGATTCCCGCTCTCAGGAACTTTTTTTTTTTGTGAAGATGCATGGGTGTGATGCAAGATGCTACTGGCTCCAGTGAGCTATAGTGACCTAAATTCAGCTCCAAATATCGCTTTTGTATTCATTGTGGCTTATCTTATGCACTCAAGGTCTTTTTACTTCCTACTGGCGTCTTTTATTTCCTCAAATTTCCTACCATCCTCCTACAGGAGGTACCTCTTGCGAGGAAAAATGACACTAAAGGCAACTCAAGACATCTAGCAGAATTTGATGTCTCCCATAACTCGTGCTGTACTGTAACAAATAAGGCTTTTCTACAAAATATGAAAGTTTCTTAAAGCAACATTGGACAACAGATTTATAACAATGAATAATCCAAACAAAGCCAAGTTCGAAGTGCAAGGGCTGCCACGTTTTCATTGCTATCCGAGCTTGCCATCGTGCTCTTGACTCTGCCCATGTCGAATGCCCCCGTGGAGAGTATTCAGTCACGTGTCCCTCACAAAGCCATTCCTAACAAACAGGATGTCCCTTCCAACTCTTCAAAACATCCTCTATGTAAAGTTTGCTTTCCTTGGGAAGAATGCGTGCTGTAAGGACATCAACCCCACTGAAGACTCTTTTTGTCCATTTTAACATGGAAATAATGTGAGGAATAAAATGTTTTTAATACAATTCAGGATGTCGTAGATCTCGCAAGCTGCTCCTAAACCCTAGATATGCAGATGCAATGCCTTCATCTTGAGCTCGTCCATTTGGGTGCACAATATTTTGGGCTCTGCAGATGTCTTAATTATAGCTACTTTTGGACTATATAAATCTTTAGCACTTGGGTACTTTTGGGCTACCCCATCTGGCACCTGACAGTTTGAGCTAGAACCTACCTGGAAACCCTGACAAAACATCAATTTGCAAAAGAAACAAGCTGTACAGGCTCTCGTCAATGGGTAAAGCCACTGCCACACTGACAAAAGACCACACAAAAGACAGTCCGCAGGCACTTTCTAGAGTTTTCAGTATGACTGTCACATTGCTCATACAAAAACTATTTACAGATATGTTCGAAGCTTACATTCATATCGAAGGGTCCATTTCACATCAGCAGCGGCAGTCTGCGGCAGCTCATTTCAAAGATGTTAGCCCACTTGGTCCACCCGTAAAGGCCGCTTGGAGGCGGTCGACTATTCACTAAAGTGTCTTTCGACCAACTGAGTGCCACCCGCGCACAAAAGACCGATTAAAGGGCCGCCCACACTAGCGAGAAAACGCGCGTGGCACGCCGATCGCGGCAAGTAACAAAATGTCGCCGAAGCACAGTCAGCGCCACGAGCGCGTGCAGAGACACGCCCTTTATCTTCCCGCTTAACCGATTTATCGGCGCGCCGGGCGCGTTTTCTCGCTAGTGTGGGCGGCCCTTAACGTCGTGAGATTGTGTTTTTGGCGGTGCTTGACCCTCCAAAATGAGAATAAAAGAGATCGATTTTTTTTTTTCCAACAAATATATTGCACCCAGTACAAATTACTACGCTATTTTTTAAACAAATATTAGACCTATCAAGATACGAGAAAAACAAGCAACTGACATTCAACAACTTGACAAAAAAAACAACAACAACAACAAAGGAAACCCACGTGGTCACATTGAGGCTGGCAATCAGCTCTAAAAATAATAAAAGACAAAACCCGCCGATACACATAACATACAGTGGCTAGCGATAGGAGCTAGAATGCACAAACGACGACCAAGCAGGACAGACCACGCGGTCTAGCAGGTAGCGAGCACAGGGTCAGAACGGCGGTGGAGGTATTTGAATGCGCCGACTCACCCGTCGCGCGCGATACCTCCCCACTTGCGACGCATGCACCGCAGCCGTGCGACAGCGTGGTTCGTACTGCAGTTTGCGAATTCTGGCTCACATCGCTAGCCACTGTAACCGGCCTTGGCAACTCGGAGAGAATCATCTATAATTCATCGAGTCGACGGAAACCTTCCAGAAAGCGAACATTTCACGTCGCGGCCCCTCAAATCGCCAACGAGGAGCCGTCCCAAACCCACTAGCACCGATTCGCAGAAAGTACAAAATATACGTCCTACTTACGGCTATGTATTGGCTGTTCAGACAGCGGGACAGTCCGAAGAGGCGAGTCGGGCGAGCGCCAAGAGAATGAGGGCCGCGCAGAAAGACAACGCGCTTCACGCAGTGGGAGGCAGCGCGGCTCGGCACGTCAGAACATGTCTGAACTTGTCCGTACGGGAGTTAACACGCTGGGTCAGCTCGCATTCTTGACTCACGACGTGTGACGCTGGAAGGTGTCGTACTGTCAACGTAGTTGACTCAGTTCCTGGTTAAACTTTCGATCCTGGAACGCTTCAATTAACTTGAAGCGGACGAGCTCGTTCCTGTTATTACACGATGCGGGTAGTAGGGTTCAGCTTCCAGCACGCCGCGGCGCCTTTTTTTGATCAGCTACTTTAGCCGTAGTTTGGGGCGTTTGGTCCTTGCGGGCGTGCGTTCGCCAAATAGAGACGTTCGAGCAAATTTGCTTACCTCCTTGCGCTTTGTTCAAGTTGGATTCGAACGAGCGCTTGAGAGTGGGCCTGGAAATAAAAAGTTGCTTTCACGTAGATCGTTGTTTTCGAAATTAGATAAAGGCGGGATTTGGCGAACCTCGTTCCTTAGCGAATCTTGAGTGCTCACGCAGTTCGCGCGTTCGCGTCTGGGATGTAATACTATTATTATGATTATTATTTACTCAATAAATTAACTCAAAAGTATTTTGTGATGAAAGGTTTTTCTTTTTTCAGACTTCTTTAAAAATCGTTTCAAACAACTTTTGTTTTAAAAATAGATACCAACGGAAAATGTTTTATGAATAATCATTTTCTTGATTTCGCTAGATTCGTCAATCGAGGTTATGTTTTTTTCTTTCTTTGGGAATGAGCTGCGGACGGTGACTGAAGATTTGTCAGCATCGGTAATTAAGATAAACCTTACGTATAACTGTGAGAAACTTACCTGACTGACCTCAGAGTCAAGTGCATGAAATAAGAAAGAAAATACATCTTCCGAAACTAGATTGTCGGATTCGCAATTCTAGTTTCGCAGCTGTTTCGGGAATGGCTCGCTGATGCCTTCTACTTCTGCATGTCGTTAAAAATGTATGTTACTACTCTCCTTGCTATTAAAAAGAACGGTTATTTTTAGTTTAAATACACATTTCAGCATTGAAAAGGCTGAAAACAAGAAACTTGGAGTTGGCCAGAGTACACAAAATTCTGAAGTCGATCCACTCCCGAAAGAAACTTAAATTCAAAGAACCAATCAAATCGTTCACCTCTTTCATGTGAGCTGCTTCCACCAATCAAAATGCTATTCAAACTATTGGGCGTGAACCCACCATTAAAAGTTTTGCCGGTTTTTCAGGCTCCGTGCCACGCCACGCAACGGCGGACGGAACCATAGAAACGGTCGGTTGGGTCACGCGTGCCGGGAAGGAGGAAGGCAGATTATCGTGTGCACCCCCTTATAAAAATCGCAGGCGAGAACGCGGCACTGGCATGAGCGGCGAGAGCAACAAACGCAGCAAGATGTCTTCGTCTCTGGATCAGCTCAAAGAAATCACCACCGTGGTCGCGGATACAGGGGACTTCGAAGGTGCGTCGATTGGTCTTACTCGCGTCATTAAATGTCCCCCCCTCCTCATCACACGTGCCTTCCGCGTTTGCATAATAGCACCGAATGGCCATTCCCCTGTCCTACATCATCCAGACTCAATCGAGGACGATTTTATCATTAGAGCGAGCGCGGAAGTTAGTCTAAATGGGCGTGGACCATGTGCACTTTTCGGTAATACTGCCATTTCATCAAAAGACAAAAAAAAAAAAAAAGAAGAAATAGAGCGTGCATGTTGTTTTCCCTTATCCCCGTACATTAAAGAAAAAAAGAGAAACTGCGAAAGATTCGCCGGCGTGTGTTGCGGGGTTTCTCTGGGGAATGCTGCTGCCGTTGCAGACGAGGATAGTCTTATTTTTATCTGGCCTTAGCCTTTCCTTCTTCCAACCACGACCGGTTCAAACTGACACTTTCAAAACGGAGTATTGCCATAAGGTAGTGCCCATTCTGCCGGCAGCCGGGAGCATAATCTCGGGAAAATCCTACCAGCAGTCGCCTCCCACTGGCGGTGGCAATCATTTCATCGAACGGCGTTTCATCGACAGCTCAGATAAGCTTTTTTTCTGCAGTGAGCCGCCCCAGACTGTCCCCAAAACGTTAGTGTCGACGAAACGTGTCATGAAACGCGTTTCCACCAAATGCCGGGAGGATGGTATTCTACCGGCAGTTGTCACATGATTTCTTCCGGCTGCCGGGAGAAAAACCGCCACATCTCGGGAGAGTTTTGAAGACGTTCCTGGTTAACTCTAATTAAAGAGTATGTATTATTGGAAGAGTAAAGCTATACGCACTCCGGAGTGCGCTTCGGACGGAAATGACTATACGCACTCCGCTTTTCTCGTATAAAAAGAGTGGACACAACGAGTTTCCTAAGCGGTGCCATGGCGTAGTGGGTCGGGTGTCCGCTTCATACGCAAGTGGACGCGGGTTCGATCCGCGGTGGGCCTACTTTTTGTTTTCTCTTTTTCTCAAACATTTTGTTTTGTTGAGGCATTTGGCGATATTTACGACATTTCCTTTTTTGCAGTGAACAGTAAAAAAAAAAAAATCGAATGTTGTCCAGAAACTTTGCAGAACTAAATGGTATCGGACTCCCTTTCCGGAGGTGCGATCGGGGACAGCGGGGCTTGGATTGCCGGCTGGACGCCGCGAAGCGGCGTGTACTGGTTACGCTTAGTAATTAGCAGCCGATACTGTCGCCGCGAAGCGGCGTGAACGCAGGCGGGGGGCTGTGTTAACGAGCGCCCCAGTGATTCACGCGCCGTTCGAAAAGGGTGGCCCGAGCGGCATGATCTCTCGGAGGAGTGCGTATAGCCATTTCCGCGCGAAGCGCACTCCGGAGTGCGTATAGCTTTACTCTTATTGGAATTGGATCTGGAATCAGTTTTCTCGTAAATTCGAATTTCATTTGAGTGCAGCAGTTTGAAAATATTCTTTTACATGTCCTTCAAGGCCGGAAACAATCTGCAAACAGATAAGTCTGTCTGGGATCTAATCTTTCCTGCTGTCTTGGTGCACTTGCAAGCTTGTCACCATCAAGTGCACAACAAAATGCCAGAGGTCTTGGGACCCATTGGCATTTTGTTGTGCACTTGCAAGCTTGTCACCGAAATAGTTTGGTTAGAGGTGTTTTTGTATGATAGAAGCATTTCTTCACTGTAGCTTGACAGGAACCAAGGCAGAACAATTTCTCTATATGTAGTTGACACACCGAACCTGAGAGCTCAGACTATTTTTTGAATGGTTGGGCAGTATGCAGGGACTCCTGCTTTTGGTACAACTTGCGAGAGGTAATCTCGGGCATTCCCCAAGGCAGTGTATTGGCCCCAACCTTTTTTAATATCTTTATTGATGATGTGACTTGTTCTCTTAACTCGACGCCATTTCTATACGCCGACAATCTAACACTTCTGCCCATCAGGGGCATAAGCCCTTACAAACGACTACAGGAGGACCTTTGCAAGGTTCAAGAATGTTCTGCGACAAACCGACTGCCCCTCAACACGGCAAAGTGCTCCGTAATGCTGGTCACCATCACCCGACAGCTTCTGCACCCTCCAGACTTGACTATCAGCGACGTCCCAATCGCAAGGATGCAGTGAACGAAGCTTTTGGCAATCGCGCTAGATCCACATCTTCATTTCTCCTGTCGCATTAGCGAGGTGCTTTCTAAGGCACGATGCACGCTGGGCTTCGTGCAACGTGTATCAAGGACTGGCCCGAAGGCACTGCAAAGTTTGTACACTTTGCTGGTGCTTCTGCAGCTTGAGTACTGCTCGTCTGTATGGAGCCCCAGGCAGATTGCTACGATTGCTTCTTTGGAAAGCGTACAACGGCGAGCTGCCTACGCTATCTTGTGCCTCCAGTCGCCGTCGCAGCCCCCACGATACAGAGATATGGAGACCTCCGAACTTCTCAGAGGTGTGGGGTGGAACCGCGTGTCTTTCCGTAGACGGGGTGGCCTCACTTCGCCTCCTAGCCTGCTGCTTACCGACCCTCTCGCACCCCTCCTGGACTATGTTAGATAGAATTGCTCTGGCGGATTACAACCATTCCTTGGACAAACAGAGCGTCGCAAAAGTATGCTCCTCCCTAGAGCTCAGAGCTCTGGCGATCCCTCCCAAGCGAAGTTACGCAAGGGCCATTTGAAGAAAAAGGGCACATAAAGAAATTCTGCAAGTGTGCAGGCCTCCAGCTAAAATAACTATGACAAGACATTCGGACCTTAATCCACTACACACTGTGTGATTTACTATTTATTTTATTTATCTTAGTAATATGGGTTTTTATAAACCGAATAAAACATTAATATTATTAAACAGCTAGCATCAAATTTATTCCATTATTCATTTTTCACATTATTTGCACAATACAAACAATCTTAAAAACTTCACTCCATTTTTTATTACAACCTAATTGGCCCTTATACTACATTTACTACAGGTCAGCCTGAAAGAAGGATGATTATGTGGATGCACAGATTTAAGGCTGATTGTTCAGATTAATCTATGCTTTTTCTGTCGCCGAATTTGCAAAAAAACTGCCTAATGTGAGCAGCTCCATATGATCGCTGCTATGTAATTTGGAAAAATGCAGTATTTTTGCGAGCTTCAGTATTTTAAACAATGTGTAAAAGGTGGACAGTGCAATGGTAATGCTGTGTACAGGCCTTCTGCCATGACCCGCCTAGATATGTAGGTTTTTTTAAAAATGGTCATACTGACGTAAAGTTTGTAGCTTTTACCTTAAGGATGGAATAGATGCTGGTGGCTATGCTGTTTGTATTGGACACCGCCTAGTCTACAACCACTACGACAACAATGTAGCTTTCAATCCTTCCGTGTTTGCGCCAACACCAGCTCTGAGCAGCCAGTGTTCCGGGTAACGCGACAAAAAGGCTGTCGTCTGGACAGTGTTCGAAAGTGCAAAGATAGAAATTGGTATGTTTGGAGTGCAGCAAATGCTGCAGGCTGTTCCACGATTGTAGTGTCAAATATATGTATGAAGGTCTTTCTTTTACGGCTAAGATGTTGTCGCTGTAAGTTAGCTGCTGCGCAGCAGGCTTTTTTTTCGCGGCATCCGAGTACATATGTTTTGCATTAATCTGGATCGAAACCGGTGGTTGTTTCAGTGATGAAGCAGTACAAGCCCACGGATGCCACAACCAACCCATCCCTCATCTTGGCGGCGTCCAAATTGCCACAGTATTCACACTTGGTTGACGAAGCGGTTCAGTATGGCAAGAAAACCGGAAAGTGAGTGGATTGGCAGCAATAGCCAATGGATGGCTACTGTTGTGCCGCTATTTGATCAACGTGAAGCCCGTGTTGAATCGCTATTGGTTTACGGTTGTGATTCTGACATAATGCATGCCCATATCTTGCTGAAATGAAACATTTGCCACTGTGGGACAGCCGTTTAATTATTTTTCTGTCCCACGAGCTGCATTTAATGTATTTTCAACAATTAACTGGTGTGTTTTTGTGATATGCTAGATACGTTTGGAGGGAGTATGTTTTGAATTTTCCCAGTTTGTAGAGAGCCCTGAAAGATGCTCAGTTGTGAACATCAGTTTGCTTGCCTGGTCTACTCTGCACCGTAACTCGGTAATCCCCCCCCCAATGACTTCGCTTTCTCCTTTGCTCAGTCCACTTTCCCTTTGGTGTTTTATTGATGTCATTTAAACTTTATTCCTACCTTAATTGCAATCTTTACACTGTGGTTGGGTTACCGGCAACATTAGACCAATCGGTCTACATTGTTCAGCTTACCCTCACATTGAACATTTTCGTTTTTGATCAGGTGTAAAATTGGAAGTCCTTCAAAGGCAAATTAAAATGAGAAATTCACTTTGGGTTGCCAAACGATTGAATTTATGTGCCTGATCCTGCCCGTAGTGGTCAATCGAGTCCTCTGAACAGTTTCTGCTCTACAAGTTCACTACCATTGCTAAAAAAAAAAAGGGGTGTTTAATTTGGCAATTTGAGTAGAACAATACACGAGTCTCCAACTATTGACTTGCCTTCATCGGAGATGTTCCAAAATTTGCAGGGGTTGGAGACCCATGTTTTTACATTTATCATTTCAGTGCCATTAGCTAGAAAGTAATAGTTTTCAAACTAGCACTCCACCAATAAGCACTTTTTTTTTTCTTTTTCAAACTTTTCTGCTTTTTGTGCCAAGCACAGTGATTGAGAGGGGTGTGGCCCGACGTGCAGGCTTGGTTTTTCCGCTTTTCTGCCGCAAGATCCTTGTCTGTTTCCTGCTTTCTTTTTTTACTTCCCTCCTCCCTTCATTTTCTTTGTTCCGTGCGACTCGGTACGACCTTGGGGGGTTTGGTTGACCTTGTGGGAGTCGCGGGCACGTTTCCTGGTCGAGACTGCTTGACCGTATTGCTTCACTTGTCCCCTTTTCTATTTGTTTTCTTCTGCATTCTGGCAGTAGTCGAGGTTTGACCGAAGAATGAGTCAGACTCCATTTATCTGATTGCCTCGTTCCCTTTGAAATGGTCCCGCAAAAGGGGCTACCGTATTGCCTGGAGAGTTGACCTATTTCGGAAACCTAAACCTTCTGGTTTTGTGTCGAGTGGATGATTAGATTTTGGATAAAGCTTTTCAAGACGGTTTCTTAAGATTTATTTGTTGCCTCCCAGAGATGCCTACACCTATCTTTGCGTGGCATAGCTACCCAACAATATAAACTGTAATGTTATTTTCTTCTGGGTTTCTTTTCTTTTCTTGATGTTACGTGAAAATTGTTTGAGGCACCTTAGTTCTTCCAAACTTACCGAGTCATAGACTATTGTGAAAATTTTAGTTTTCAAGCAAAATTGGCCCGTGCGGACTTGACTGGGCAACTATAGTAAGAAAAATATGGCATGTCGGTATTTATAGTCGTGTGATGGGCTTGGGAATAGAAAAAATTGTTTTGCCGCAAATAAGCACAAAGGGTAAAAAGAAAGAAAAAAGTTGGTACGTGTTTGTTGTCACCTGCCGTCTTAGTTTGATGCTATTTATTTTTGTTTTCTCGCAGGACACCCAAAGAGAAGTTGACCAATGCCATGGACAAGCTGGTGGTGCTCTTTGGCAGCGAGATCCTCAAAATCATCCCCGGCCGTGTGTCCACCGAGGTGGATGCCAGGTGAGCAAGCGGGGCAAATGCGCAGTAACTTTCTTCTGCAGAATATCAAACGCCACGCACGCGTCCGCAGTCCAGTGGTTCGGCATTTTTCACCCAGATAATAAGCGAATGAAAGGTGTACAAGGTCTTATCTATTGTGTAATCTTGTCCACAGAGGGAGAATGCCAGCCCCTTGGCCTCTGGCTGAGCAGGTTTGGCCTCCCTTTTGAAGCCCTTGGTTGTAGTGCCGGAACACGATTCTTGAACAAAGCTCGGGGCTTTTGTGCTCTGGGAACCCCTAGTGACTTTAACTGCGACTTTCTGGTGTATATCTGTGGGATGCCAGGGTATCTAAAAAATAAAAGCGTTACGGAGAGTAGGGCGCCGTGTGGACTGAATGCCTCGGCTTCCTCGCAGGCTGTCGTTCAACACAGAGGCGTCCATTGCCAAGGCCCTGCGTCTGATTGCGCTGTACAAGGAGGCCGGCGTCGACAAGAAGAGGATCCTCATCAAGCTGGCCTCCACCTGGGAAGGCATCCAGGCTGCAAAGTGAGTGGCCACTGTCGACGTCATCCGCTGCAAGGACTAAAGGTTCAAGTGGGTCGCTCTCGTTTGTGTTCCCGCCGCACAAGTTCAGCCTATGTTTCCTTCATGCCAGAAAACCTTTATCGTGAATCAATTGTGCCTTTGACAGCTTAGTGCTTTGCCACATCTTGCATACTAGAGTGCAGGGGTGTGTGTTGGCGCAGTTCTATGACCACATCGAAAGTTGTCAGATCAAGGGGTTGACCAGTAGCCTATTTAATTTTGAATTCACCGCTGGTTCATCTGTAGCTACTGTAGGTGTGCTGCAGCATGTAGCGCTGAAATCACTAATATAATGAAGCCACCAAACAATGGGTCACTACTGCTTCCAGCCTTCCTTCTCCATAATTTTCTTTTTCTTCTTAATAGCAGTAGCAGGACTAGTTCGGGCCATTTTTTGCAAGCCTGACTGAAACAATCCACGGAAAGATGGTTTTTTATATTTAATATTGACTGTGTTCAAACCCAGATGCTATTGTCTGACACGTACAGCTTTATTACTCTAGTAGCTACGAGCACAGGCTTATTGGTTTGAAGGGGGCTATACTGTTGGGCAAAGGCAAGCACAGCGGGACTTTCCGTAAACTTCCAGTTTGGATTCTGGCATTTGTAGACGATCGAATGGTATAGATGAACAATCATGGCTCTCTTTGGAGTTATCGGTATCTATCCGAATAGACACATTTTTCCTGCGTTTGTTCGTGCTTGGCATCTTTGTTGCCTTTCTCTACGATGCCATTGTATGGCGTGCTTGGGGCCAATTTTATTCATTTATTGGGAAATACCGTTGGCCCTGTCTCGAGACGGTCTTCTAGAGAGCAGCAGCACGTCACCACCGTAAAATGCCAGTAAGATCAGATGGACATCCACGCGTGTCCTGGGCTCAAATGACTGCCAAACTTTGGTGCCTGTTGTGGGGATACCGGAGTCTGGTCGTTCATGCACGTTGTGTGGCATGCTGCTGGGCCTCGGCTGAGAATTCCCGTCTCTGCCCCCAGGGTCTTGGAGTCCGAGCACGGGATCCACTGCAACATGACCTTGCTCTTCAACTTCACTCAGGTGAGGGGAGTGAACCCACTTCATCCAGTTCGGGAATCGGATATTGGCTCATGACAGAGTGCCTCAAAGGAGTATTGAAACAAAATGACATCACCTTGACCTTTCTACCTCTCGCTTCAAAGTCTGCCAGTGAGAAAGTCGATGCGTGCATGACGTCAATAGCAAGAGTTTCAACCATAATATTTATTTTTTTTCACTTGTTATATTTCTTTTGCATATTGCCATTTATTTTAGTGGATGCGTCAAAGTGAATGTGATATACGCCGTGCGACGTTGCTGGTAGATAAGATCATTTTTTGTCTCGTTTACTCTTAGTCTGCAAAGCGGCGTTCTCCTTTACCTCAGTCACTAATGAGGCTGCTGCCAAGATCTTTAAATGGATAAATATTCAAATATTGTCTCCAAGCCAATCATTTACCAAAAGGTCCAGTTACTTGCGATTTTGACACCTTTTGATGGCTGCCATCGGCACGTAGTGTCGGTTGCATTCGGACGTTAGGTGAAAGGAAGTTGGAGATGCATTCCTGGCAAGGTGGTGCTTCCCCGCATTACTGGCCTTCCCACGCAGGCGGTGGCCTGTGCGGAGGCCGGGGCCACGCTCATCTCCCCATTTGTGGGGCGCATTCTGGACTGGCACGTGGCCAACACGGCCATCAAGAGCTTCCAGCCCCTGGAGGACCCCGGGGTGCTCAGCGTGACCCGCATCTACAACTACTACAAGCGCTTCGGACACTCCACGGTGGTCATGGGGGCCTCCTTCCGCAACGTGGGACAGGTGCGGGCCCTGGCCGGATGCGACCTCCTCACCATCAGGTGCGTGTCACTCGCTCCGCTCGAGCTTTCCAATAAAACTTGAGCACTGGGGAGTGTGCCACGAGTCTAGTTAGGTGTGCGGCACCTGCTGGCATCTGCAGCACTATCCATTCCAAAACATGAATCGAGTCTCGCTTTGTACGTGCACTCTTTGACGCCTTTCGGTTAATAAGGCATAAAATCTGACGGAAATCTCAAAATCCCGAAATTTGGTCCATCTGTTCATTTCCCAATAAATCTAAAAGGGGAAATTTATGTCGCATGACCTATACACCACTTGTTTCCTCGCTAAATTTAGCGGTAAAATTTATGTTGTGTGGTCTCTCGTTGTGTGACCAGTAGACCTTTCTGGAAATATGTCGTGCTCCCGGCATCTGCTTTACGCTCTTATGACTGCTGACTGGGCAGGTTCGTGGTTCATGTTATTTAACCTTACAGTGAACCAAAAGAAAAACACTTACAGGCACACTAAAAAATAACACAATAAAAAAAAACTGCTTTACGCATTGTGATGCCCAGATGTATGGCCTGTTAAATTGTCCAAGAAGTGAAGACTAAATTGTTAATTTCTGACTTCAGAATGCAGAGAAGGCAGAAAGAAAGCAAAACGGAGTATGCGACACTAATCTTCTTTTCCGTTTGCCCAATTTTTTTTGTGTGTGCCGAGCTCCTAACGATAAGAAAGCATGAACCATGCCACTACCAGGATATGCAAAGCGTTTGAGCCGTCGAAGAGCATACATCCGAACAGCCCCACAATTCCCCTTGTTGCGAGGGTTCCTAAGATTTTCCGGAAAGGTCTATTCAGTTTTCTGCTAAATTGATACAATATAAGTTCTTCTTCACTCCTCCAAAACAACTGTTCACTATCCTCTAAAACAATTTTAAACGATTCTTCCTTAAATGTTGCATTTCATGGATTGTAGAACTTTGGAGATAAGGGGTTGCTTCCAATATTTCGCTTTGTCTTTTGTACGGACAAGTCGAGCACATGCAGCACATGTGCATATGTTCCCAGGATGCTCCTTGGTACTTCGGTTAGTCGGCGAAAGGTCTATTTGACAGACTTCTTGCACAGAAGGGTAAATGGGGTTATAGGTTGCACGTCAAAAGGTCTCCCAGTTAGTCTAAATGAATCTGTTAGGTGCACACACCTTCGTTCTAGTGCCCCTGGATAACTAGCTGCTGGATTCAGTCGTGGATGGACGGCACACAGCTAGAGAGTGCAGACACTCCAATGACTCCGAAAAATCTTCGAGTCATTGCATTCTTAAACGCCGTCAAAAGTTGGCAGTCTGATATTGTTCTTATTTCCGTCGATGAAAGTGAAATTAATTCGAATAAAGACATGGCAGTGAACGTTCGGCCAATCGCGAACGCCAACCACAGCGCTGCTTTTGATGGCACAAATCGGCAGTAGTGAGGATCTTTATAGCAGGGTGTGAAAATGGTAACTTGAGGGTGTGGATTGACAGTGCTTCTAGTTGGGGAGATGCGCTTTAGGCCACCGGGCCATGCACTATTTTTTTTTTTAACTGTTAGCCGTGTCCTGGTAAGAGCCCCGCTGAGAATTGCTCTGTGGCTGCCATATTTATTTGTTGGACATGTCCTTTATCCACGAGATATGTTGTGCACAAGCCTATGTTCGCTAGATGTCTTTCCTAGACTTTTTCTGGCAACGTTCAAGCAACTTCACACTGTTTTGTGGATGATCTGAAGACAGTTTTTGCTAAAGCAGAATTTGGGAGAAGTGAACTGTATCGTTGGCCTTCCTCTTTTCACTAAAAGCATACTTCTAACTTGTGTGCTATATTTTCGTTTGAGTGCACTATGTTTGTAACCGAGGATTTTCTTCTTTCGCAGCCCGGCTCTCCTGTCCGAGTTGGCCATCTCTATAGAACCTATTGTGCAGTACCTGTCGGAAGACAAAGGTATGTTCTCTGCCTTTCAGTGTATTGCTTTCGTTTATTCGACTCCTGGGACAGGCATGCATTATTTTGCCATTTCTTTTTATTTCCAATACCCCCAGGGTAGTGCATTGAAAAGGAGTGCGAGCTTAAAGAAACAATTACAAAGTGTACACATGTATTTGACGCATCTTTAAATGTAAACCATTTTGTTTAACTAAAAAGCGAAACCCTATCACCAACACGTACCAGGTTAATGACATTCCCATCAATTTGTCCCTACAAGTAAAATATTTACTAGGCATTTACACTTCATCACAGCAGAAAAATTGGCCCTTTTTCAAACGGCAGCGAAATATCTAAATATTTTTTTTTCATGTACAGTGCTAATCACACTTGGTCTATAACGCGCGAGCGTGTGGCTTTCTCCGGGGAGCGCTAGACTGGTGGCATTGGCGGAAACTAAGCTAGTCACGTGGCGCAACATGGAACGGCCCGCTCGAAGGGGTGTCGTCCTGCCCACTCTCAGCTGGCGGCGAACGCGGAAGGCTGCTCGCACGCTTTTTGCAAACATCATTGCTCGAACAATACGCAAACTAAAGTATGAAGGCGTATCAACAATATCGTCATCAAAAAACAAGAATGTGTCATAAAGCACTTCACTTTTATTGCTTATCAAGCTGATAGAGTGGGCAGGACACCCCTCGAGCGGGCCGTTCCATGTTGCGCCACGTGACTGGCTTAGTTTCCGCGAATGCCACCAGCCTAGCACTCCCCGGAGAAGGCCGCATGCTCACGTGTTGTGGACAAGTGTGATTAGCACTGTACAGTCGCCGATTGATTTTTCGGACTCGAAGGGGACCCCGAAATTGTCAAAATAATCAAGTGGTCCCGAAAATTGATTTCAGCCCAAATATTAATTTTCCCCGCATATTCCGCTGCGTATTGGCCACTTCCCACTTGCTTGATGTCAATTTTAAGTTCTCTTGCAACTTCCGATGTATATTGTTCACTTTTCACTTGTTTGTTTATCTGTTATCACAGTGCTGCACTTTGTTGGCACAAACTGCAAAGTTGAAGTTGGCGCCATTTGGCACTATTTGTAAATGTTTAATCCACCAAGGTCGATTCAATGCTAAGCCTATTGGCAAAAAGCTTTGGGCTCGAAGACCACAAGGACGGCAGACGACTGCTCTTTTCGCGGTCGCACTCGAAAAACACTGACCACGAGAAGAATTGGAAGAGCCATCGCTTACAAAAATTATCAACGAGTTTTTATTGAGTTTCTTATCCACAGTCAAGCCCGGTTATATCGCACCCGGGTATTTCAAATTATTTTTTTATATCGAACAGTCCAAACATCCCTTTGAAAATCTCATGTAATAGTATAGGAGCGTTGTTTTTCTGTATCGAACTTCCATGGCGGGGAAACTCAATATAGTAAACAAAGCACAGCCGCCGGTCGCAGGCCAGCACACGTGCACGGGGATGCACAGCAAAAAAGCAATTGCAAAAAAAAGAAAAAGAAAAGACTTAAAAAAAAGTGGGGGATGGCAATAGTAAGGGGAAGGGCACCTGCGCTTGTAGGGAGGGTAGGGAGTGCCCGCTGTTGGAACAGAAGCGCGCGCTCTTTCCCCGAACACCCCCGACTACTTGGCCCCAAAATAAAATAAGCAAAAAAAAAAAAAAAAGTTTTCGTCAAGTTGAGTGTGTTGACAACGGTTGAGCAATCACACTTTGAACGCCTTATCATTGTTTACCTTTTTCTTTTGCCGTTTTTGCTTTGCCCGTTTTTTTTTTTTTTTTTTTGTCTGTCTTTTTTGTTGGTTGAATTTAGTGAGGTTTCTTTTTGTTGCTTGCTTAACTTTATTCTATGGAACGAGTTTCTTTTGTACACGGCTCGCTTTTTAAGTTCTTTTGTCTGTTTTTTTTTAATTGTTTTTCTGTTTTGTTGCGATGTGCGGTGGTTGTGGCCCCGCGTAAACAATCGCAACTCCCTCGCGTAAACGCTGCGGTGTTTGCGATCTTCCACAACTAAGCTCTGCTGTACTTAGCGGCTCTTAGAGTTTCTTTTTGGTAAGGGACCATTCGTTGTGGCCTTCGGTATTAGCAGAGACGTGCCGAAATTTCAACTGGAGCTTCAGTGAACATATTCTTGTATATTAAATTACCGATATATCAAACTATTTTACGTTCTCCTTTCAATTCGATCCGGGTTCGACCGTATTCTATAAGAAGACTGTATTCTCGAAGAATACATTAGAAACTATTGAAACTCGATAGTTTTTGTAAGGGGTAAGAATGGGCAGACGGCAGCAATGTTGGCAATAGCGGAACCGGGAAAACCTGACTATCACCTTAACCCAGCTTATTTATTGTGTAGTATGTGGTATAGAGGCTACAGGGCAAAATCAAAACAACCAAAATGGCAATGACTAAGCCTGCGGCGCTATCGCGGCGGCTGTTTTGTGGCCGTAAACTGAGGAAATCGCGTCCGAAAAATTGGTCGGCAACTGTACTGGAATCGGCTACCTGAAAAGCTACAGTCGGTGACAGGCCAAGAACGAAGTGGAAGCTCCTCCCACCTCTTTCCACTTTAGTAGAGCGAACTCTGGAGAGGAGGCGACCTTCTCTCCGCCGTTCGCTGCGCTAAAGTGGAAAGGGGTGGGAGGAGCTTCCACTTCGTTCTTCACCTGTCATTGACTATAGTCTCTAAAGACAATCTCAGTTTTATTATGCATTGTCAAATTAGTAATATTTGCTCTTTCTACAAACTACCACTCCTTTATAATATTTACAAGGGGGGTTTATATTTTCATCACATATATTTTACTCTGGTTCGGGTATGATTTTTTTTTTTTTTTCTATTAGTTGCGAGTCTTCTCTGCAGGCAAAACACCTTTTTCCCGAATATTAAAAAAAACAAAAAAAAGTGTTCTTGGAATTTATTCGATTTTTTATTTGCCCCTCCTCCACTATAATGCCCTCACAGGTGCTGTGGGGTAATTTGAATAAATGAATAAATAAATAAATATCGGCGATCTTAGCAATGGTTTTGTCAATGTGGCAGCGTTTTGGTATAAAAAAAAACTTCAAACAATATTTCTTCTTGGTTTTTAGTGCAAATGTTTTATGTTCATAAGCTACTGTAAAACCCTTTATTTTCGCGGCCCCTATTTTTCGCGAATCGGTCACAGATGACATAATCGCGACCACTAAATTTCGCTAATTCCAGACGCCTGCATTAAAAATCTTAAGGACCGAAATTTTCGCGCGCCCTTAAATTTCGCGAATTCTTCAATTCGCGAAAATTGAGGGCTCGCGAACATTAAGGGTTTTACAGTATTCAGCAGGAATTGGTTTGCTTACACATGCTGGACTTCGCAAAAAAAGTGCCTTTGTGCATTCCTCTTCGAGTCTCCATTTTCTCAGCTGAACTGGATGGCTCTGCCCCTCAATAAACCATGCAAGGAGATGATTATCTCTTGGCTAATCTGCTTTGTCATGCTTGCCAGAAGCTATACAAATAAGAATACCTACACTACTACAAAGATACCATACTTTTGGAGTAGTGTGTCCCCAACCTCCCTTTTCTTTTTTCCACAGCCAAAAAATTGGACTTGGAAAAAGTGGAGGTGAACGAAGCCATCTTCCGCTGGGAGCTGAACGAAGACCAGATGGCGACGGACAAGTTGTCCGACGGCATCCGCAAGTTTGCGGCAGATGCAGTGAAGCTTGAAAACATCCTCAAAGAGAAGCTCCAGTGAGGTACATTGTGTTGCCCCACAACGGTTTTGGGAGGGGGGTGAAGAATTGTTCAAATTATTTTATAAAGAGACGCACCGCTCGCGATGCAACGTGCGTCGCGGCGTCGGCCTAATGTCCTATTCTCCGCAATAAATTGCTCGTTTTGTTACGGCATATTGTTTGTCTTGCGCGTTGACTGTTTAGAGTCACGTGCCCGAAAATTAGCATTTAAGCTTTGGCTCGCTGTCTTGCTGAGACAGTGTGCTTGTTTTACTTTTTTATTTTATTTCGATAACTTTAGGGAACACGTCGCAGTGGGGAAAAAAGCAGAAGTGCAGCAAATGATGCAATTTTTGTTAAAGGAAGTAACCTGATGAATTATATATAACCAGTGGCATTTTAAATTAACCTCGGTCAAGAGAGGTGGCTCCACTCCGATGTTCTGGGTAGGAGAGTATCTAAGCCGAGGTTTGGCAGCAAGACCAATTTAAACTGGCGAGAAATTTATGAGGGGCTTAAAAAGTTTGTTCGGTGAAAGGGCAAATCTGGTCGAAAACGAAACCAAAATAATTTACTGGTATCGCTTTAGTGGCACGAAATATTAGGTCAAAGTGAAGATGCATACTCCACTAGGCCAGATTTTAAAGATGCGACCAGCTGCTCTTTAGCGGGTTAGCTTTAGTCGAGGAACACTGGCGCAGCAGCCTTGTGACGTCGCGTGGCGGTGGAGCTAGAGTTGATTGGTTGTACCTTAGTTGTACTGCAGCACCCTTGTGACATCATGAATGGATGTTAATGGCTATACTCTTTGTAATGGGTGGTAGCTTGCGCCACCTAGCCCAAGTATAAAAAGACAAACATATGATTCCTTCCGCCCTTCAAAGCCAATTTTCTCCCTCTATCACTAGGCAGTGTGGGATATCACCAGGATGACCTTTGGGGGATCTGGCAAAAAACGAAAAACATTACCCCTTGTCTCTTCTTCCTGGCAAGGGAGTCGCCGATAGACCCTTTGCAAAAATCCCAAAAGCCCGAGCGTGATGCATGGGAGTACTCAGTACACCCCTCCCATCGTCTTCCCTCCTGCTACCATGTGGCATATGCAAGCAGGCTCAGGTTACCATAGCAACAACGTTCGAGCACCTCAGAGCCCAGTAGCAGAGTCGGATCGTCGAACGAGCGAAAAGCGCACGGGGGAGGGTCTGCCCCTTCTTTCATCACTCTCTTTTGTACCGCATTGCCTCTGTCTGCTGTGCCAACGCTTTATCGAACCTAGTCGCACTCTGCCATGGTCGCAATGCAAAATAAGTGGATTCTGCGACACTGCACGACGTCAAGGAAAAGTTAAGACCAATAACCTATTCGAATCGCCTTTCGCGACGGGTTTACGCTGCTCTAGATACGGTACGCCGCCTACGATATTATGGCAGATGGGCGGGATGGCAGATGGCTGCGACAGCTGCTGGCGACCAGCTGTTGCGACGCGTGCGCAGTCGCGGAGGTGCAGCAAGAAAGCGTGTGATCTATTGGCCTCGAGATCGACCTAGGGGTGGCGCTACGGTCGTGCTATCATCATCATCATCATCATCATCATCATCAAAGCGGGGATAGGAGAACGGCCGCCCCATAGGCTCTTCACGTTCGCGCGCGAGACGGCGTAGATTCTTGTGTTTATTTTGTCGCATACTATTGGTGGGAAAACAATTCTAGCGGAAAAGGATGCAATACTGTTGGGTGCTTCAGTGAAGATCGAATCGTGTTGCCAGCGTGCGGCCCAAATTTATATAATCGCTTCTGTGGGTGCGTCGTCTGCTCTAGGCAGACGTTGAAAAGCATGGATCACCACGACTGATGCCTGTCTCCGGCTGAACAGGAATATTTATGTTAAATAGTTGCTTCTTTTAAAATGGATGTTTCGGTTCATCGACGTGGGAATTAAAAAAAACAATAAATTCCAACCCAGATAACATATAATACTGGTACTGTGGGCTGTGAAATCGCAGCTTCTAAGCTGTTTTTTAACTTCTAGCTTTTCCAGTAATATAATTATTTAGAATGAAGATAAGTTAGCGCTGTATTGGATATTACCGTGCTATTGAGTTTTTCTGCCCTTTTACTGTGCCATAGTGTGGGTAAGTTTTTTGGAGTCTGTACAAATTTACTGCGTTGCGATGAGGAGGATGTGTCTCTTCTAGTTAAGATCTGGGGGGCTATGTTCGACAAATGTTTCGTTTCTCCTAAAAAGAAACGGAAGTGACAGAAGTGATGATTTTGCGTCTGATTGGTTAAGGGCTCAAACGATGAAAGTTCCCTCTTTCGTCATTTGAGCTTCTAACCAATGAGACGTGATATCGTCACTTCTGTCACTTCCGTTTCTTTTTAGGAGAAACGAAATATTTGCCGGACATAGCCCCCCTGCAAACTGCACGGTTGGCAGCACAACTGAAACAAGTGAAACAAACTGTTCTAATATATCTGCCGTGACTGTAATAAACGAGTGTAACCAAGCAACGTAGCAATGTTCCTGTTATTAATGTTTTTCTTGGTAGTGTGGGTTCACCCGCTTCGGTATTCTTGGTGAGGGCCGCGGATATCAAGAGGCTAATAGTATAAATTTCTGGCTAAATAATCTTGCATTCAAACACAGTACACTCTGCAACCCCGACAAACGACGCGCACGACACAGACAGCTTTGGCAGCAGTGATATTCACTACTGATGAAGGCTAGTGACCTTCACGAGATTTTCCAATCACCCTCCGCCCTCACCTAACGTATATTGGGACTGGGCAATTCATCGATTAACTTTCAGATTATTGAAGTAATGCATTCATTGCAATTTTTCTTTTGCCGGTTAATTGGAATCTTGTGCTGGAAAAAGTCAACGAGGAGTAAAAAAATGCCTGCTTGAATATTTTTGACGTCTTTATTTCTTTTGTGACACTGGCTTGCATTGTAAACCACTTCAGCGTGATTATACCGTTTAAATAATAACTTAAAAATACTTCACTTTAAAAGGCTTCCCGTGTTCATATTTCTGTAGGAATCGCAACGTGAAGTTTAGAATGGGAATGCAATATGCCATTTATGACAGTAAGACCAGTAAAAAAAACGTGGTATTAACACCTTTCATGCAATATTACAGGCGAAAAATCAACATACGGATTTATTGATTGATTAGTCTATCAAAAGATAGCGATCAGTCGGTTTAATTTTCTAATCAAACCACAGAACCACTCAACATTTATTGCCTCATGGAAGCCACGGTTTGTGCGAGATAACAAAAATACGGGGGACCAGCGATTGTATACAAACCAAAGCACTAAGATTATGGAAGCTTCCGACTTAATAATAAATCGCTTTGCTGAATTTCTACGCATGGGAAACGATACAACACAATTTTTAGTATGAAGAAACGGCAACAGAAACATCAAACATTTAATAAGGAATGCCGAGCTCAGCCTGAAACGGGCTTGCGTCGTCGAGATCCATGCTGTGAGCGTGCGCCCGTAGCAGACGACGCACGGCGGTATCCTTGCTTCCGCGCGTTTCCAATTTCGGCCGCACGGTGGCGGCACGGTTCAATCTCGAGGCGAATACCGAGCGTTCTCGAAATTCCCTGCCGTCGTGGCGCTGTACATTTTGCAGCAAGTCTATTTTCCACTGGTCAAACCTTGTCAGCGTTACCCCACCACTGGACCAACACCACATAAAAAAGCGGAAGGCCTCTGCATTGTCATCACAGTCGGATTGATTGAGGCTTGAAATTGGGCACGAGTGCTGCGTCGGTGTTCGGCCAGGGCTCGTGTTCAATCAGCGCGTCGAAGGTCTTACTCGAACGAATAGCCGAGTTAGTGCGACCTTTTTACAGCGGAGCTGTTAAGGGCTAGTTTCTCCAGTTTCGTGTCTCTGGACAAATAAATTTCGACAAACCTGGACAGCTACCGCCATCTATAAGCAACGGCGGCAACCAGACAACTGGCTTGACAGCTGTCTGGTTGCCGCCATCGCTCATAGATGGTGGCACATAGTACAGCTTCACTGCTCTTTCTTCTTCACCTATGTGGAAAGGCTGAACGTTTTTGATTGAAGCGCCAATTAATACTTTTTTTACTTTTTCAATTTTTTGGGGGAAATTTTGGGTGCAATGGAAAATTTAGTCACAGTAGAACACTATATTTTTTCCTGAAAATGTACAAGAAACTGTATACTTGGAACAAAAATATTTAGGATGACTGTTTAATTTTAAACTGTCCTAAAAATTTGCCGGAAAATGCTTTATTACTGAAAAGTTGCTCAGAAAACCAAGTTCGCCATTTTATTTCTTTTTAAGTATATGATCAGATAATATAAATTTGACTAATTCTAGTAGTCAAGTTTATGTACAATCGGCATAAACAATTTGATAAAGTTGACGGTTGTATTTTTTATTCCAGGTGCCTTCAAATTTGCATCAATGCGCAATTGGGAAAGTCCCATTTTCAACCTCATCTTACGTGCAATTTTTTCTCGCAAATACATACAAGAAAGTTTCTCGCAAAAGTAAGGTTTTTATCGTTGTCTGAAAACATTTCTCTACCCCGTGAAAAAATTCAATTGAAAAAAAAAAAAAAAGTGTGACACCACTATGAGCGTGCTGAACACATCCTATTTCTAATTTTTTTTTTTGTGCAAGTCTTTTTTTTTTTCCTTGAAAATTTTTTGACAATGTTATAAACGACTAGGGATAGTATGTGGATTCGATAGTGTAAAACTTTGTCTCTAGTGAAATACAGTCACCTTGCAGATGGTGCCAGCATGTTCTCTCGTCATATAAGGTCGCAAGGATGCGGTCCTAAGCAAACGGGAGTGTCTGAACGGGCCATTCGGTTACTCTGAAACCGTTTGTGGCGCTGACGGCCAAGATGAACGATATTTGTCCAATGAATTTTCGTCACTACGCATTGGTAGATCCGTGCCGCGACTACAGATCTACACAGTCCGGAAGCTCCAAGAAGCCCTCGCCGAGCGCCACGTCCCCCGCCTCATCCCTCTCCTCGACCGCCACCCTGCTGAAGAGGGCCACATAGTCCCTTGAGTCCTGCGGGATGTACATCTTGCGCGCCTCCGCAGCCTCCTCGTTCTCCGAAAGTTCCCGCGTGGGTCCGCATCGGTAGAAGGCCATGCAGTGCAGGTGTTGCCGCTTCTCGTAGCGCAGCTTGGGGAGCCCCAGGTTGCCCAGGGCCTCCCTCCAGCTGGCCACCATGGCCGCATTCCTCTGCTGGTGCTTAGAGTCCGGGGTGACCACCAGGAGGAGGCCGTAGGGCCTGAGGAGGGCGGCCGCCTTCCGGCAGAAAGTCCAGCGCTGGAGGCAGCTCGGCAAGTACTCCAGGACCATGCACATCACCACTGCCTGGAAGCTGGCCGCGGGGAGCTCGACCAGCGGATTGGTCAGCACGTAGGGGGACCACCGCCCGCCGGAGGGGTCCGTGACCCTCAGTTTCAGGAAGTCGCACTCAAGCACTCCCTGGAAGAGAATATTAAGACGGCATGTTGGGCTAGTTGGTTGTACGTTGTTGAGGTGAAATGCTTACCTAAATTCCTTAAAGACGGAGCAGAAGAAAATTAATGCAAAACAAGACATAGCGCAGCTGGCTTCGCGCAACTCCTGACGAGGACGGTCCAACAAATGGTCGTAAAGGGTCCAAACTACGGTGCAGACGACCGGTTCTCGGTTTTTATCTGCAGGCTGTCTCTGAGCGCAATGGTGCAAAAATATTTGTATAAATAAACAGACGAATAGAGTGCACTGAAACTTCTCGCAATTTTGTCTTAAGGTGTATATTTGTCGTACTGTATTTACTTCCATAATGGACGCACTCGCATAATGAAGGCACCCCCCACGACGGGTACCAATATTTTGAGTTTTTTCCCTTGCATAATGAATGCACCTCCAATTTTCGGCTTTGCAAGTCTCTAATTGCATCCAACTTAGCTGGCCTCCAAGCCCACCATACCAATTTTCTTCTGCCGCCAAGCAATCGGGCCAAGCCAAGCCAAGCCGCTCTCTTAATGGCTGCGGGTGAGCAGTTGCAGAAGTGATCAACCGTAAAACCTAGCGGTGCAAACACTTGACAACGCTTGGGTCGAGGAATTGCTAAGCCCCTAACATTCTTTGCCTATCGGAAGCATTGATGTCAATAAATACGCCATTGTCTGTGGTCCGCTTTCGTACAATGAAATCGTGAAAATGGTTAGGCCTAAGAACGGTTGCATTGCTCTCCGTGCTGAGTGAGCTTTGTAGGCGCTTTTCCTTCAGCAAAAGGCATGCCGAAAGCGCTCTAAAAAGGCTCGCAATTTATAAAACATGGTTACTGTGGCGCGCCGCCGACCAGCCGTGGGTGCACCTCCATCAATGGGGACGGGCCACAGTACCTTGCCATGTCATATTAGCACCTAATATGTCATTTGCTCGAATTGTGTAAATGCAAAAATTTTACTCCATGTAATAAACGGCCCCCACATATGTGTCAATTTTTCAGGAAAAAAAGTGTGTTCATTATGCACCCTGGGCCTTCGAGGAATAATAAATGATGATTATGCAAGTAAATACGGTACTCAAATTTTATGAGTGCAGGTTGTAGGAAAATATTTAAGCGTAAAATAAAGCTGTTTCTTGTTACGCACAGCAAGGAAAACGCTGCTACACGCAGGTGGTACCACGTACGCTTGATTTGCTTTCAAGCATCTCAAAGTTTACACTTGCTTTATGCTGTGCCATTTGCAAGCTTCAACCAAACAGTTTTAGCCGTTTTTCCCCTTGTGCGTAAGAGAACAACAGAAACGAGGGGGATTGCACGGGCAAGCTCGTGAGCAACTGTAACGAAGAACCCAGGAGACGAAGGGACACAAAGAATGAAAAAATGAACACAACACCGTCTCTAATCTTTCGAAACGGTGTTGCATTTGTCCCCTTTTTTGTGTCCCCTCATCTCCGGGGTATTTCAGTACGAGAAAAACGGGTTTTTATAGGTTTAAATTCTTTTCCTGAAACCACTCGTAAAATTTCAGTACAACAAATGCACTTTCGTGAAATGTTTAAGTGCATTCAGTTTGTTGGTTTATACAAATTGTTTTGTGCCTGTATATCGCTCGGAAACAACCCAGGCAAATGACCGACTCGTCAAAATTAGCGCTGCTTGGAACATGCTTGCCCCGTGCACTGGCTTGGGCAATGAAATTTAAGTTTGTCGCTGCCTTGTACAAGTAAAACGTAGGAAAGTGCAAAGTCTTTTGCAGCGTACGCTAACCGGGAGTCTGCCTAAACTGAGCGATCCGGAATTCCTGGAAGGCTAAGAGAGCTCGAGGTCTGGAAATAATTTATAGATGTTAACTGTTTCGTAGAGAAGCTGCTCAGTAAAATGTCGAGATTCCATATCCTTCTATACCGTGCCGCCTGGCCAGTGAGGTTTCATAATATGGGTTCCTTGCATTCTTCTTTACCTCTCCCGTCTAACGCAAGTTGTGAGAGACGCAATGCCTATGTGGGGTGGATTTCTTTTTTTTTTTGTGTCGAAGCATCACAGGCCATTTGGATTGGGGGCAACTGGGTTCCCTCGCAACGAGCGACATGCACTAACCTCGCGTGCGGGCGTGAGGTCGACGGCAACGGCTTCAATGTCTTCATAACACCTGAAAGGGTCATAGCAGCTCCCCACGTCCAGCAGACGAACTTTGCCTCCGGGTGGCAGTTGCAGCAGTCTGTAAATTAGAGTTGTGGCCAAATATCACTTTCGTGCATATGATAAGGCAATACAGTGCTGGCATGCAACTATGCTTGTCCCAAAGAGCTTCGTTGCATCCATCACATAGTAAAACTTGTTACAGAAATACCATGAATAGGCAGTTTTTCCGCATCCTTTACATTTCAAGAATGGAACACATCTTGAAGCAAGAACATGCATTTTCTTTGTGAAATTAAAGGAGCTGTGCAACAGTTTCAGTGCTTTGCTTAAATAATTTGGGAGTTGGTGTCTCGACCTTTCTGAAGTAAAGAACAAAAAAATCATTTTGCCTGCATATCCTAGTTTTTGTTTTAAAAATAGACAAAGACTGAGGTTTTCGGCACCTCTCAACCCCTTCACCATCTTCCGAGTCACGTGCGCTGTGACGTCAATGGCGGTGGCGCGGGGTTCCGGTGAAGCTCTCTCTCTACAGCCATCAGTGAGCAGTGAGAACTCATCTGCTCGCAACCGCGTGACCACATGCTGGCGGGCGCAGCGCAAACAATATGGTGAAAGGAGGAAAGTCTCATCCGGGTCCGGCCATACCTGTTTGGCCCTGTCCCCCTCTCCCTTCGGCTTCTGGCGGCTGTTCCGCTGTTCGCGGTAGCAGATAGAGCTGACAGTTTTGTGGACCTAGGATAGATGGCACCACTAAAACACCGATAATAAAAGTTTTGTTGATGATAGCAGGTTTTTGACGCATTTATATTTATGTTGGAACGACCCGATTTATAGAAAACTTGCCTTTTATCGAGCGGGTATTCGCACAACTTGCTATCTTTCTACAAGACCCCCTTGACGTCATGCCACGTGTTTCTCATGGCCGCCGCTCGCAGCTGCAGGTCGAGGAATATTCTAATTTTCGCCTCGCGATTACGCGGCGGAATCGCAACATTTCGAAGGAAAGAGGTGTGTTTTCTGTCCTTTGTGACAAGGTGAACAATGTCAAAAGTAGAAGATACCAATTCTTTCAACACTAAAATCGTTGCACAGCTCCTTTGAGGGGAAACTGACAGGGGATTTATGCTCGCCAAGGTTTTTATTTGCCCGAAAACTGCCAATCGAGAACTAGCAGGTTAGAGTCGCGCTTACTCTCTTCACTGTGGTCACGTGCCAATCTCTATGGTTTAGACACAACCACCAAATATAATCAAAGTCGTGGGTCATCAAAGGCACACACTCAATATTAAAAAATAGAAAAGAAATAAGATAACCATTTTTTTGTGGCTTCTAGAAAACTATAAATACATTGATTAAAAAAAAAAAAAAAAAAGTTGTACAGCAACGTGATTTTTGCTGACTCCCTCCTCCTCTATATTTCTTCTTCCTTGCCAGTCCAGTTTCGGTTTTGGTTTCGAGCAGTTGAGTGTTTTACTTTATTAAAAATATATGTGACGCTGCAGCAAAATATGGATTCGGTAGTCTTCTGGCACCATAATAGATTGCCTGGCAAACAATTAAAAAAATAAAATCTTTTTTGGGGAGGGGGGGGGGGGGGGGGGGCAGCGTCCCTTTAAAGGGCAACTCTGCTCAGTTCCGCAAAATTTAGGCTTACATGTGATTCAATTTCACAAAGCACTACTAAACAGCTCTACGTCCTCGGATTCGCGAAATGTGGAATATTATTTCTGTAATCTTAATTTGGCTGATTTGAAAGTTTGCTGGCCAGTTTATTAAATATATAGACGGAATTAGATCGTAATATTTGACATGGGGTCTTCCTATATGATACTGAAGAGGGCTGCATCATTTTCTAAATATCGAAAATGAAGCGGAGTTGCCCTTTAAAAGGTGTGCCACAGGTAGGCTCACAGATAGATCTATGAGGTTATTTTTTTGGTAACTATAAAACTTGATCCTGCAAGCTTCTCCATCGAAGCAAAACTTTTTCCCCAATGCAGCTAACCTGAGGGCGTGTTCCATGGCAGACTCTGCGTTCTGATCGAAGGACGGCAGGGACCGCAAGGCCCTCTTGAGGCCACCCTCGTAGAAGTAGCTCCTGCATCAGAAGACGCACATCTGTATCAATGTTTCAAGCAACAAGAAGGACTTTGGTCGATTGTACAATGATTTAGTTCTTTGCATCTGAAATTTTCAAGTCAACCACAGCTTCATCTTTCATCTTGGGATTGATTGCATGGTAGAAGGCCTGTACTAAAATTTCTGCAGAAAAAAATTTTAGTAACTGTAAGTGGAAAGCTTTTTATGCTAGAGCCATAACAAAATTATGTTGGCTACCTTGGTTCAGTGTGAATGCAGTGCCATCCAATGGGCTAAGAATATAATTCAAATCCAAAATACACCGATAAAACAGTGTGTGCTGTTCTATCTCCTTTAGCGTGCTTCTACCGCAGCATCAGCACACTGCGGCAAAGCTACGCTTGCGGCGTCGGTGTCGAAGGTGGCAAATTTTAGCAGTATGGGAATGCACTGGGGTAAGCACCACTTCCAGGCGGATCCGTGCGCATGCTTTTTGAAGCAGTTTTCTCTGTTTGTGTATGCTGAAAAATAAATCAATCTCTCCTTTAATCTAGAATGCAAAGTAAGGCCTGCTGCTATCATGGAAGTCTATCAGAGGTGCTCCGTCACTCCGAGGAGTTGCAATCCATGCCTCTGAGGAATAGATCTATAGAATCAAGATGTAAAAATACAATTTCCTCTTCTGATTGCAATGCGGAGGGCAAGTTCGTCTGCTCCTTGCGCAGAGGGTAGCGGTGCTGTCAGAACGCCGGGCCCTGATTGGCTGATCGCGACCCCCTATCTGAGCGTCGTCTGCTCCTTTGCAACGTCGTCTGCTCGCAACGTCGTCTGCGTCTGTCTTACCTTTCCTGCGACTTTCGGAAGCGCAGAGGCCAGATTCAAGAAACGATCTTACGCCAAAAATGTGCGCAAGACAAAACTTAAGAACATACTCGTAAGTTTTCGTAAGTTTTGCGCAGGTTACGACGAAATCCCACGACAGCTCCGAAGCTCTCTTAATCAAATCAGCATGGCCGACAGCGTTGCGGTCGCGACGAACAACGGACGTTTATTTTCTTACGTGCGCTTCTCACGCGTCCCGACTTCAAGCAGCAAGAAAAAAGTAAAAAGTACTTGAAACAGACCACGACGAACAAGAACGTTAAATCCACAAACACCCGGGAAAAGCTCCAAAGGCCACGATTCCACCGACAACGACCAAGCGAGCACGGCAGATGGGCCTAGCAGGCACTCCGACTCGGCGACCGTCTGCCCACGACCGGCTGGCGTGCTGAATGGAATATGCCCGCGCGACCCTTGTGAACCCTTCCCGTCTTATACTTTAATCGCTGACCTCAATTTTAGATTAAGAGGTCAATCTCTTCCTCTTGTCATCTCCTTGTTTTCCGAGGCAGCGGTGACTCTCGCCGGTAAAAAAAGTGGTGAAACTCCGACAGACGCAGGAAAGGTAAAGCAGCCATCGCTTTGACTAGCAGACGTAAAGCAGACGACGTTAAAGTTAAAGCGTGAGAAGTCTCGCCGCACACGAAAGGAGGGAAAAAGTACTTGGGAGGGAACTTGGGGACACTAACCACGCTCACTCTCGGTTCTTAGCAAACAAACCTCGGCGCCTCGGGACACCTCGCCAGGGAGTCCTTTGACTTCCCTCCCTGATGCGCGTCGCCTTGTTGTTAGACAAAAACAATGTAACACTCGAGTTATTTCGTCTGCTTCCTCTGAAAGGCGAAGTCGAGTTCGCTCGTAAAGCCCTACTTCAGAAAGTCGCAGGAAATTTAAGACAGACGCAGACGACGTTGCGAGCAGACGACGTTGCAAAGGAGCAGACGACGCTCAGATAGGGGGTCGCGATCAGCCAATCAGGGATCGGCGTTCTGACGTCATCGCTACTTCCTTTCTCATGCGCAGAAGACAAAAATGAGCCCACTTGCGAGGCGTATAGTTTATATATTTGTGCCACATTTCTCACTTACTCTCTATTAATGATAGAGATTTATAAAAGCTTTCCATCAGCCTTAGAAATAAAAACACAAAAACGTTTGAACCAACTGCTGACTTCACGTCGCAACATTGCCCATTAGCACAGTCTAATCATATTAGTAATCTGGTTCTTAGTTCCCCCTTTCGGTCTTTGGCCCCTAAGACATGTCTGTAATTGCATCATTTTTTTTTTAAATTTTAAGCAAGGATATTTGTGGGTCTAAGAAGTCCAAGCCCCCAATTTATCTATGTCACACATCTGCCAGATGCCGTAAGCTGTCCCCCAATACAAAGGGCTCAGCTATACTTATCTGTCCATCCATCCATTTTGAAAATGCAGAACACCATTAGACGGGACAGTACCACTGATAGAAACACTTATGCTTTTCTACGCAGCCTTCACATTTTGTAGAAATATGCAACCTGATATTTTGTATGATTATGTTCCATGAAATACTCTTTGGGAGGTGTAACTATCTGATTCAATTCCAAAAATCACTATGCACACATCTCCATATTCTACTGGTTCTGACAGTGCCCTCAGCTTCTCTGTAGAACAAAGGAGTAGCTTATTTTAGGCCCTCGAGTGTCAACTCAAAAGCATTGTTGGAACACTTCTTGACGCTACAGCATATTGATGGTACCGGGACTCTTTAGGGTGTGAACAAGCCCAAGTTATGCTCTATGTAGCAGAAGAAGGCAGGAGTTTGACACTCCACAAAATCAAGCTCGCAATTATGTATACTACAGTGTGCAACACATACACAAACCCTGATTGAAGGCTTGCCCAAAGAGCTATTTGCATGTGCTATCACCTAAGTCTGCGTCGGACACAGTGCACAAACATTCCGAGCTACAAAAAGAGGCAGCGACCAAACTTCCCAAGACCTGCCTCAGGGTTTGATGACACCACTCGATCCTGTCCCTGAACGGCCAGATGGTGGTGGCTAGTCTCAACATGCTGTCGGCGTAGCGCTTTCGCAACTCCGCATCCCGACAGTGGCTCTCCCAGACTCTCTCTTCGTCACCAGCTACGCAAGAAAAAATTGCAAGTTACAAACTTTAATGGCCGTTTCAAAATTCCACTTCTGTCATCTGTCATTCACTGAACCGGAAAAAACGTAAATGGTTTCACATTTTGTGAACTTGACCCACGCTGGACGTTTTTATAATTTCGTTGGCACTAAAGTTTTGCAAAGTAAAGCATTGGAGACAGAAAAATCTTGGCTAGCTATCTTATCTGGTTACAGTGAGCAAGTTTTGTTTGTACCGAATAAAATGTCAGGGACCCTTATATACCAATCCAGGGCTGCATTCAACAGAAGACACAAGTCATGTTCACTTTTCAACTGTACCTTACGTGACACCAACCCACTTTTTGTGATTGTTGTGTTTGGCAGTCATGTTTGGACAAATCTGGGAATTCTCATCTGCACCGACAACCAGGGGGTGTGCTGCTGCTTTTGAGACCTACCGTCCCACATACATTCTTTTGATAGAGCCACACGTCGTGGGAAACCTGGAGACCTAAAGCAATGGACCAGGTGGCCCGCATGCCCTACTGTCCAGTCATTTACATCGCGAAAAAGCCAAGTACATTTAGCCATGCGAGTGGCACTTCGTCGCTGATAAAAGGCCATCGCAGTGGATGTGCGGGTGCTCTTGGGATAGCGGCGCAGGCGACTACGGTGAACGAATGACTGTGTTGTTGAACTAGTGCGTCGTGTCATTTTCCGAGACGGGTAGCAGTAAGGGAATTATCACAACCTACATGTCACTGTCAGATGGCTACCAGCCACCAGGGCCTAGGAGGTAATCAGACTGCACACGCCCTCCCAAGCAAAGTCTGGGACCTCCTACACCCCCGGCCAGGACCCTACTATCTGAACACACTGCGCCAACAAATGCACACAAAACGCGGCCCTCGCTTCAGCCAAGCGTACACAACCCTCAACAGGCGGGCACAGACACAAACCCTCCTGGGACGTCCTGGCTGGCCAGCATGCCCCCACTGTACTGGCTCCAACATGCACACTACCTGTGGGACTGTACCAATGCTCTCCTTCCCCACCAACGCCCTCGAAGCTGGACATCCCTCCCAGGGTGCTTGAGACGACACTCTGGCCCCTTATTGAGACCACCACAATGGAGTTCCGATCACCAGAGTGATGAACAGACATTCTCTTTTGCCTAGGAAACCACAGGCTGCGTCTTTAAAGAAAACTATATGAGGTCACTGTCTCTATTGGAAAGGTGGGATGTTCTTAGAAATTTACTTTTTCAAGCTGTTTCGAAGTGAAGGAGGGGAAATGCAAGAACCGCGTCGGCAACGTGGTCTTACACACAGGTTGGACAACCTTACTTTCAGGCAGAAAGGAGAAAGGCACCGAAACACCGAGGACGACAAACAGTTTCCCGCTGATTGTGCTTATGTTTCCCGTACCCCTGTCGACAAGGTACTGTTCCGTTGTTTTACAATATCCTTTCAACATCCGAGAGTTTTACATTGACCGGTACAGTACTTTAGTTTCCCCCAGATAAAACTCCAAGAAAAGAGGTAAGGAAGAAGGTAGACAGAAAAACGTAACATTCTAAGGAGTTCACAAAGCCGAAGCTAGCACAGAGGTAGGCGTGCATAGCAGAGAGCAAGTCGTCTGCTTCTTGCGCAGAAGTTGCGGTGACGTCAGAACGACGGCGAGCTCTGATTGGCCGCCTGAAAAAGAAATAGTGGGTAGACCTCAATGCTAGATGCTTTGAGGTCTACCCACTTTTTTTCAATCGGCCAATCAGAGCTCAGCGTCGTTCTGACGTCACCACAACTCTTGAGCAAGAAGCAGACGACTTCCTCTCCGCTATCATCATGACTTCTTCCATAAAATGTGCCGGACCATCTGATACGTAAAGCATAAGCGAAGTTTATCGATAGTACTCTGGGGAAAGTGCAAAGTTACCCTACTTGATTGGTAGTCGAAGCGCAACTTCTCGTGCACTCCTCGTATGACGGATACGAGTTGCTGCTGCTCTCGGCTCATCGCAGCAGTCGGTTTTTCCAGCCTCTTCCGAGTGAGCTTAGAAATGCCGAGAAACAGTGACGACACCACAGGGGCTCGGAATCAAAACGTAATTAGCCGTCATGCGAACAAAGGCAACTGCGAAAAGCAATCAAGTATGCCACACAAATATCCATCCCACGTTTGTTTACATCGAGTCGGATTCGTCGGTTTGCGTTGATGTGGATAGTAGATGGCTTCGTGGAATTTCTTGAATAATCAATAAAAACTAAAGTTAACATAAATTTTGTAGCAACTCTAAAAAAAAAAAAAAAATTATATAAACCACAAATACGTTTTTTTTTAATGTTTCCAGTTGAGGAAAACGCTAATATTAAAAAGAAAAAAGAAAGTGAGCAATTTCAATCGTAATGTAACTTCGGTAGTTAAAACGATATTTACCAATAATTGTAGCAAATTTGACTGTAAAAATTTTGAAACAGCTCAGACGGCCTTGATTATTACCTTATTACGGCCGATTAACAATATTCGAATACGAAACCATTGTCGTCTGCGTTTGTGGAGTTGACGCCATTACCGCTCGGATCGCAACAAACAGAGCTGACGTTTGTGGCTGGGAATGGTAAGCGATCGAGACCCTTTTTCTACTAATTATCTTTAGCGGCTCGTCCCGCCCGCTTACATTGCTTTGGACCCCGACCGACGATCTTTTGGCCCCGAACGGGCGCTTCCCCGCCCCCTACGTCAGAACGGGACCTCGCGAACGGCGTTCCAAGAAGGGCGCAACGACGTCGCAACCGATCAGTTGTCGCAACTTTTTCGGGGGTGCTCGATCCGTTCCGGCAGGTGTGGGGCCCACCCCACCCACTCCCGCCTTTTATTCTTAGTTCGCGACGTAGAGCAATACGTCGGTCATCTCGGATAGAAATTCGACGCAGGAATTTCCTCGCGCGCATTTCACAAATCTCTAACGGTCTGGCGTGATTTTTTTGTTTTCGTTGTTTTTTTTCTTCTCCAGGTCGCATTCCTTTTGGCTTTTCGAAGACGCGGCCGTCTTGCGCGATCGTGACCGACCTCCTCTGGTTCTAATAATGCTCGTAGATAATTATCGGGGAACCCCAAAGGCGCCTGTGAGGTCCCAATGTCGTGCGGCAGTGCAAGAGGGAAATCTGAACCGAGCCTACATTTTACGAGCTTCGAGCCGAACTTACTGCTGCGTTCCGTGCGAGTATCCTGGAACGACGATTTTTGGTAGTGTAAAACGAAACAGAACCCAGAAACTATAAAATTGCAATGATATCGTTAGACACCGTTAAACTGGCGGCTATCACTCGGTTGCATTTTTCCCGTCCGTCGCGCACTGATCGATCTGTGGAATCTGGAATTTAATTTTTTCCAGACGATGTTTTGTTTTCATCTTCGTGTGGGAAATATTATCGGTTAACATTGCTTGTTTATAGTTATTCGGAGATGATGCACTTAAAAATGATTTTTACGATCAGCATCGCAGACATATCAGATCGATTGACGCTGCCCAGTGCCATGGGAAGTTGGGTTGGATAGTGGTGTACACAATCTTAAATCCAATTAAAACCGGGTAAAAAAAGCGATGTTTGTAGCTACGGCTGTGGCGTTATCGAATTACAAGTAAAAAAAAAAACTTTGTATATGCTGTTGTTACGTGCCTAGGATGACTATGCTGAGCGCAAAGCGCTGCTAGCTTGATTACAAGGGTTGGGGGTTGGGTGTGTCCAGAGTCAACGATAGTCACCAGACGGGCTTCCATAAAAAATCTAGGTACACGCTACACCGTGCTCTTGATTCTCGAAGGCGTAGTCGTCTGCAACTGCAAGCAGCTCCGTTTACTCGTCCCCGTGAACATTAAGGAGGCCGTGGATACGGCGCCGAATGACGCCATCGTCCGCAAGATGAAGTAACAAAGACTCGAAGTCATTAAGACAAAAAATTCCCCATCAAAAAGACCGGCAAGGCAACCAGTGCGTTAGAACCAAATTCGAAGGGGCGGTGCTGTCTCCGATGCTTTTAGCATTGAGATGGCGCCACTCCTGTGGAAACTTCATTACATACGGAACCTCCATGCCACAATGTATGCGGGTGACATAGCAATGTAGACAAAGTGCGGCAATCCTGACAAGCAGACCCGCACCCTCCAAGAAGGTTTGGGCACCGTTGCTGAACGCCTCAAGAGCGACATGTTGCCGTCCCCCGAGGAAACAAAGTGCTCCAGGGACGTTGAACCCGACCTCACCTTCAGTGGAGTACCGATCCGCGAGGCTACTAGCATCAAGATTTTCGGGTGCACTTTGGACATGGCAATAACCTGCCATATCCTGATTGGATGAACTCCACCAAGTGCACGTGGAAGCACGGACTCGACGTGATACTAGGGTGCCTGGAACACGTCTCCGACTGGTGTGTTTACCACGTCCAAAAAAGTGGTTCCTCGATTTCCGCCTAGTGACATCGTACGTGCAAGTGTCATGCTGTCGTGATCCTGGTGGCGCCTCAACAGCTCTCGTGTCAGTGGCTGATGCCTGTTCGGCTGCAGGTTTCCCTCCAGTGTGGCAGTCCACGAAGGCTTCGGCAACCAGAAGTTGGGACGCCGTGATGACAGCGACACTCGCGTTCGTTTGTGCTACTCGCAGCTTCTCGTTAGCCTTTCTATGACCAACCGCCAGGATCGCGACATGCAACTGCATGACGCTTCGGCTTCTGTGATGTCATTTGTCGCCACTTTGGGACCACTTCTGATGTATGGGCAGCATAGGACGCTAAACACACCAGTCAAAGATGCGCTCCAGGCACCATACTGATATGACGGATATGCATGTCATAAGATGGGTGGTGCTGGCGAGGAGACTGCCAGAACGCTCGTCTGTCCTGATATCCTGCGTCCTGTACGGTGCGAGGTTCTACCGCCTGTTTTCCTGCCACAAGAAGGAACTCGCATGTTCTATACAATGGCGCAAGAAGAGCAATCCTCGGCCTCCCTAACTTCCCAAATGTTGATGCTATCTGCCGCTGTGTCCACCTCACCGATTGGCGAAAAGACACCGAAAAACAGGAGGGGACGCACCTCTTCAGTCTCAAACATACACAGAATGGGAGGGCCCTCGCAACTCTCCTCGGGGTGGGCAGACTCCGAAGCCGTCGAGCACCCGCTCTTGAACCCCATCGTGCCTTGGGATTTGATTAACCTGGCGCAAGACACAAGTCCCATGCTGCTGAACATGGGCGTCAAGCGATGCGAGCAGTACGCAGAGAAACACACCAATGAAGTGCCTCCTCGAGAACTTCAAACTAACACTGGCCTACGTCAGTGCAGCGACGGGCACGATGAGAGGAACTGTGGTTGGTACGGTCCTCTATAGCGGCACCAAGGATGCCGGCACTGAAGCTTTTTTCGGCAGTCAGAACATACTTCCAAGGTCCGACCTAGCCGAGGCAACGGCCCTCTTCGCATTCCTTCGAAAGGTGCTGGGAGGGCACAGCCCCAGCAGATGGCACGACCAGTATCCCCGCAGCCTGATCATCGACACATACTCGCAGGCCACCATCTGCGACTGCAAGCACTACGACTCCACGGGGAGCCCCATGATCGGCAGAATCTTTGAGACAACTGTGCGGCTCGGAGGCGTTTCGGTACCGAGAGTCAGTATTTGATGGGTTCCCTGTTATACAAGCATGACCGCAAGAACGTAGTCGCGCATTGGACTGCCACAAGGGCAGGTTTTCTTCCACCCCTTGAGAGCCTGGGAAACTCTCCCAATGTGCGGAAGGCCTCATGACAGACGGCGACAGCTTCGAGTACTGCGATGGCGACCACGCTCGATACGGGTCTGCAACCCTCAACAACAAACTAAAAGTTTTGGCTTTGAAAGTGACGAACGCGACAGCTCCGATTTTCGTGAGAAACGACTCCATGCGAGAGAGTAAAAGCGCTGGGTCCGAGACTTCTAGACCCCCGAACCCGACCCCTTTTTTCACCTACCGGTCGAAGACACACTGTTTTGCTGAGGAGGATCCACACCACAGACGTTGTCACTCCGTACATTACGTATGTCGTGGAGACAAGACGAGCGAAGAAGGATCCCTACTTTGTACTGACAGACTCCCGCTGCCAGCACTGCAATGCCCAGGTGCCCTTCTGAAACTCCGCCATCTCCCATGGGAGTGTCGTGCCCTCAGCTACCACCGCACGCAAATCTGGGCCTACATGGACCCGAGCGAAGTATCGCCAATGCTCGAGGAATGGACCACGCCAACTGGTGACTCTGACACACGCATGCTACAGTCAAACTTTCTGCGGTCAACTCGGCTCGCCGAGATATTGCAATGGACAAACACCTGGGCACCGAACAAACCACGCGAGAGTGCAAACGCTTCAAAGTTGCATCGGCTAGGAGGTTGAATAAAACATTTAAATGCTGTTCACACACTTGCAATAGAGTTTGACCACAAGAGGCAAAGCCAGTTTTTAAGCTTCGTGTGGCAATGTAGGACCTGCTCCACCACAGCACATCTGATCCTACGCCATCGCAAGAGGCTTAAAGACCGGTCTTGTCTCTCTCGGTCCTACTCGGTTGTAAGTGCGTGAACGGCGCTTTACACAAGCAAGCAAGCAGCTAAAGTTCCGTGGGAAGAGAAACCCAACACTGAAGCTCCGTCTAGGATATACGAAGGTTGACCCCGCCGTCCCAGACCGATATCCAAAGTAAAAACTGGCAATGCTCCTTTTTTTTTTTTAACTTAGTCTTGAAGTTGAATGGAGCCCTGCCTCTATTACCTCATTACCCATTAAAAATCTCTTACATGCAGGTGTTTCATCCGTTTCTTGAGATGCCCATAGTCACTGGGGGCCGGATCCAGTAAATATGGTAGCTATTCCAGCATTTCCAAAGCTTGCTTCAGGAATGGCATCCATCGCAATGCAAGACCTGAGGCTGGGTGCAGTGTCTTAACGAAGGAGCGTTTCCGGTCTCAACTTTCCATGACGCTTCTCCTTGATTGCAGCGCATAATTTTTGAATCAGGTCCCCATAGTAAGAGCTTACTATTGCTGCTCCACCTTCTATAATCCACAAAAAAACACCTTTGACATCCTCCCCTAAAAAAAAAAAAAAAAAAAAAACGATTGAGAGCTTGTTATTGCTACTCTAGCTTGGACAAAAAGGAGCACCACTGGGCTCTCAAGACAAAAC